TGGAGGTCATCAACCTATATGTGCTTGCATGCACCTGATCCATTTAATCATAGAGAATTAATGGAAAGCATCGCCGGGCAAAAGTAAAAGCATACCAATTTTAGTCTCCCTTTTTCTTTTTCTTTTTCTATTCTTTAGTAACATCATGATCTTTTTCTTTTTCTTTTTCTATTATGTTCCCACTGCCTTTCTCTCTGTCTCTGTCTCTTATGAATGTGAGCATAACTCCACCCCTTCTTCTGGTGACCCTGATGTAGAGGAAGACAGCTGCAGAAATGGTAGTGACAAGCCTGGCAATAATAATACCACCACTAGCCACCGAATTATTAGCTTTCCTTTCACCTTCTCCAGTGTTTCCACCCTTTCCAACAGGTCCCAAACGTCGGAAAGATGGAGCTTCCGTCGCTGCGACTTATTCCATGCTCTCACTATCCGACGACGGCTCTGCCGCAGTGGAAGCAAAGTGTTCTGTATCCCTGCCCAAATCATCAGATTTCTTGGCAGCCATTGTAGAAAACAGAAGGAACCCAGCAAGGAGGACAGAAATCAGACCAAGTCTTGCCATTAGGTTGAAAGTTTGAGAATTTGAGAATCTGGGTATTAGTTGGCTTGGAATGTGACGCTTTTAGATGCTAAATGACTGAACCTTTAGTTAGGGATTCGAGCAATGATGTTGAGGTTGAAGCTGGAGGTGAGCTGGTTGTTGGACTCTGTCTCTGACCTGGATCTGGAATCGTCTTCAGAGGCAGAACCCAATTGGGGATTTGACTTCGTGACTGCCGCAAAGGGTTTTTCTTCATCCTCTTCTTCTTCCTCTTCACCTACGGTTTCATTGTCGGAGTCCTCCACCACGGCGGCTGGCAGGTTTTCTACAAGTTTCTTCGGAGCCATCGGAGAGAGAAAGAGAGGGTCTTGAATTGGGAAAGCTTTGATTCTGTAACAGAGCCGAGCGACAAAAGCTTTTGTCCTCCACCTCGTCGTTATTTTCGAGGACAAAAGATTCCTCGCATGTGTCACGGATCGTCATTGCTGCAATCTGGTTTCGGGATTTTGGCTTGTGCTTGCTGATCATCTCCGTCTACTACAATTTCTGCGCTCAAAGCTGGTACTGGAGCATCATGGCGGCTGGTGTTTGCGGCGGAGAGCTGAAGCGCAGATCTTGGAGAGGAGATGGTGTGGAGAAGATGACGAGGAGCACATGTGTGGGGTTCGTGGTGGCGAATCCGAGAGAGGACGGAGATGATGGTCCTTGTTAATGGGCTCCGGGAGGTGGGTGCGGGCCTGGGTATATGTCTGGGCTCGCAGCTGCTGAAGCCTGAATCTTTTGGTTTGGATCTGCTGAGGCGTGATGGGTGTTGAAGCTGGAGAGGTGTCAGATCCGGATCATCGGGCGAGTTGGGCCGGGTTAACGAGTCAGCAGGCTCGAAGGTGGAGGGAACGTCTAAGAGAGACGGAGGGAGAAGCTGAGACCGTGCAGCAAAGAGATGAAGAGATGGGATTGGCTTTTCTTTTTTTTTTTCTTTTTTTTGTATCTCAGAGAGATAGAGAGAATGATCTGATGGAGAGTTGTGATTTTTGTTGGGAAAAACGGGAGAGTGTCGGTGCACTCACGGAGAGACGCAGAGATCTGATGAAAATGAGATGATGGTTTGATGGGTTTTTTCTGGGTTCTTTTTGCAGATACACGGGGAAGATTGTGAAGGTTTCACGGTGGTGTGATGAAAGATTGAAAGAGAACCGATGTAACTTTTCGTGTCGATTCCCACAGACGGCGCCAAATGTTGATGCACAAAACCGGATGGTCTTGGTACAACGTAAATCCGACCGTGAATCTGCATGAAATGTAAATGACACAAGAGTTATCGTGGTTCACCCCAAGGTTTGGGCTACGTCCACACTGATTTTATTATATTTCTCTGTTGAAGAGGGAGAGAGAGCTTAGGGGATGTGAGGAGCTTTGAGAGGGGGTGAGAGGCTTCAGAAATGGCCTCTGAGAGTGAGAGTGAGGCCTCTCCTAGAATGAGGGTAGGAGTCCCCTTTTATAGAATAAGGGGCTCCTCCTCTTTTACAAAGTATGGGCTTTAGTGTGAGGCCCAAATACAAGGCCCAAGGCCCAAATATACGAGGCCCTAAATATGGTATAAACAATATCTATAAAATAAATTAATATAAAATTTTGATGTGGCTTAACCGTGACCGCACAAATAGGAGGGGATAAGGAGGACATCCAAACAGAAATGCAGACAATCTACCTCCGAACACAAGTACATGAAACCGTAACACGATTTTTTGTTCGTGCAGCTTATGACTCAACTATGTCTAAGTGTAGCCTTACCATCGTGTTTCCTATTAACGATCTTGTGATTAGTTTAACACTTTTTTCCAGTGTACTAATTTCATTCCTAGAACAACCTCAAATAAATTATGAGAAAGGATGTATGGCAATGATGTCACAATCATATAGGTGGCCACTCAAATTCCCCCTTTCCTTATCTCAATTTCAAAGAATGAGACTTTTCTCACAACATTGTTATTGACCCATTACAATTTATCTACTTTGCAAGCAAGCATGGCAGTGTATTTCTCACATTAATTTGTTTATATCCGCATAAGTAATATTACTTGATTTCTGATCTTTTGAAATGATAGGCTGTCGTGACAAAACTACCGATTAATTTCTTTTTTGGTTTCAAAAAAAAAAAAAGGTATCAAACCAAAACGTCAGTTGGAAGTATCAAGTGGGCAAACTTTGATGACATGTGTACATGTTTATACGACATGTCGATCCAAGCGTGACCTGGATTCTAGCACAGTATTTGGGAACATGACATTGTTGGTCCCACCTACATAGTATCATGGTACCACGTGTAAGCACGGAGATGGTGGAGATGAAGTGGGCCCCTTCCGGACCGGCCGCCTGCCCCCTCAACGTTAATTGCGGGGTAGCCGTGGGACATAGAGCCCTTATTATCGGGCCGGGTCAAATTTCAAAGTCAATCAAAGGGATGGTCCGTGATTGCTTCCCACGCTTCATTGAATCCTATGTACCGTCCGATGTACGTCAATCCATGAATAGTCAACGATTCAGGCAGCCTGATAGAAAATTTAGAAATTGCCTTTGTCAAGCGTATCTCCGAAAGAATGCTGACTCCCTTCAATTATTATCTTTTGAATTGGTTTAAAAAAAATTCTCTAATTAATAATTATGAATACCATTGGAGGGAAAGACAAAGGTGGAAACAAAATGCTATTATATTCTTATCTTATGTGGATAGCCACTATAAATTTCAATTAAAAAGTCAATTACAAAGACTCTTCCGTGACAAGAGGTTGTAGCTATTGTGCTTATAAGTGCATTTAAAATGACTGAAATCATTTTTGATAAACCGATTTTGAAATCTTTAGTAAAAATGCAAGTGAATCATGAAAAAACATTTGAAGTGTTTTATGCAAGAAACATATAACTAATGCTTCCTCTAAAATGCTCTTATAGTGCTTTTAAAATCACAAAAGCACTTAATTAAAAGTATTTTCAGTCATTTTACCACATTTTACCATATTTACCGTAGATTTTCTTTTAAAGATAGAGTTAGCTAGATATTGTGCATAATCTACATAATCTGTTAAGTTAGATAATGTCACATCCTGAGCTCGACTCTACCGTATCACGATATTGTCCGCTTTGGGCACCGACCATGCTCTCACGGTTTTGTTTCTGGAAACTCATACGAGAACTTCCCAGTACATATAAGGCATAGAGGATTCACTTCCCTAGACGATTTGAGATGTCACAATCCACCCCCCTTTAAGAGCCCGACGTCTTCGTCAGCACACTCGCACCACATCCCGGGTTTCATCGGAACTCCGAAGTTAAGTGAGTTCGCACGAGAGCAATTCCATGATGGGTGATCAAATGAGAAGTTCTCGTGTGAGTTCCCAAAAACAAAACCGTGAGGGCGTGGTCGGGACCCAAAACGGACAATATCGTGCTACGACGGAGTTGAGCCGGGGATGTGACAGATAATGTTTTTCTTAGTTTTCCATTATTATTTTGACTTTACTATTTCACCTATATATAACAAATTATTTTTTGTACCAAAAATATTGTACTAAGTTTCACTCAAAAAAATGATACAATAATTTAAGTTTTGGTAGTAATTTATTCTACTATCTTTTAAATGATTTGTACAAACATTTTTTTTTCTTTCTATAAATTTGTGTAAAGAGAAAATTGTACAGAAATCAAGCCTCTATATTTTCCTATAAAATTGTAGTCATACATTTTATTTGGCCGGACTTCAATTACACGGGCAATTGGTAATTGACTTTGGCATCCTTCCCACAAATTTCTTCAAAAAAATCCAAAAAAATTAAAACGAAGAACCGAAAAACCCACCATTAGGCTAAAAACAAGAAAAAAGTCGAAAAGCAAAAGCATCAAAAGCAGCAAAAGAAATTTAATGTAATAAAAAAAATTAAATAAGTATAAGTTGGGCTACCGGTTAAGGCCTCAGGAGTCTGATTATGGTCAAAACTCTAATTAAAGTTTTGAAAATAAGTTGGCTGCTTATCACTTGACAGCTAAATGCTAATGAGATTTCTCGAAAAATGAGAATATTTATAAATTCTTGAGAAAAAAATTTGTAAATATTGACATGTTATTTAATATTAAATTGTAAAATGATAAAATTTTCTATAGCCTTTCTCATCATTCTGACACTTGTCCACAACTAACAATTTTGATATATATCTCCCCACTAAATTCATTTTTTTAATTTTTATTCCAGACGGTTTTAAGCGAGTTAACAAACGTCACAGTGTGAAAGAGGTCATAAAAAAACTACATAAGATTTTGAAAGTAGAAAATTTAAACTCGACAATAGTCCATGAGAGTCCACTAGAGTCCTACACATTCCTATCATTACAAATTAATAATTTTATTTTTTAACAAACGATATAATCTACGCTAATTTATCGTTGTGATCTCTACATAATTAAAAATAGACTATAAAAGACCATCTTTCTTCTCACTTCTCCGGTTCTCCCTGTGTTTCCCTCTCGAGTCCAGCCAAAGTCCGCCTCCTCCACCACCACCTCCACCTCCACCTCCGGCCGAAGTCCCCGCAGCCAACCGCCTAAAAACACGTGAACCTCGAACCCCGGAACCATCAGGAATCATAGTATTCTTGCCGTTAAACTGAAACTGCTTTTTGATTTTTAGATTTTTTTAATCTTTCCTCTCACGCTATTTGCACCCCGAGATCACACCTATAAGCACCAAAAGCTTGGATTCGCAGAAAGTGCTTTTCCGCGTGATTCCCAGCTCCTCAACGGCTTTTCTCTTCAGCAGATCTTGCTCGGGCAATACGAGGTCGGTTCATTTGTCTCTCGATTCACTCGTTGCGTATTCTGTTTGGTTACCGAGAAAATTAGGTAGAATGCTGCTCAGCTAAGCTCGATTAAGTTATTATTTAGCTTCCTGAAATTCCATTTTTCTCAATTTTTTAGTTTGAATTGATTTGATTTCAAGCAGTTTAACTAAAAGCAATCCGATATATCAATTTAATTTGTTCAATTTTTTATCGATTTTGGTCGTGGAGTTTAATGTTTTGATTTTGAAGTTACTGGAGATTTTTGATCGGGAATTGTCACATGAGCCTGCTTAGTTATTGGATTTATATATATATTTTTTCTGGTCGGTTTGTTCGTTGTCTTTGAGATTAAGGAAGAACCGCTGTTATTCCGTCTTAATTTAAGGTAGTGGGATGCTTAATTCAAAGGGAGCACGTGGATGATGTCAATGAATGGGTGTTAGATTTTGTGACTTTGTGTAAGCTGCTCATTGTCAAATGGAAGCACATGGTCGCTTCGTTTCTCCGTATGTAGACGGGGATTGAGGAACGGGCATATGACTTCTTGCTTGTTGCTTCTTTATATAGTGTTTGAAGAATTCTGCTTGATAGGTTAGGGTATAAGTATGCGCTTTCCGCTGTTAAATGGTCAATGTAGTATGTGAATTCGAATTGAAATGCAGCGGAAAGCGAGATGTTATTGAGAGAGATAACGTGTTTCCATCTTACAGCAACTTTGGGCTGTGAGTTTCAAGTGCTACCCATCTATTGATACGGTTTGTGCATTGATTTACAAAAATTGTTATGGGTCATTTTTGTAGTTGTATATTCTTGTATTTCTGAGTCGTAGAATTTTGGTTGAATTCCTGAAGTAGTGTGCTCAAACTTATGTTTCTGTGTATACGATAAACCAGGTTTTTTGTTCCTTCATGAGGTTCGTCGTTTCATTTAAGGAATTTGCAACTGAAAACCTGTTAAATAATGCAGATCAGCTATTGCTTTCTACTTGCAGTTCATTTTTCCGTGAATGTATAGTCAGAAGCTTGTAAATAAAATGGGAATCCTTTCACGCAGGTTAACTTTTGTGACAGTCTATTTTCATCGAAACAAGCTAAATTTTGTTGTCTTTAAGTTTATTATGGAGATCTGATCACCGCTAATTACATTTACATGTTGTTGGCTGCAGTGCGGGTGGTAGGAAACCAAATGAGACTATGAGGCTTATTGTGACAACTTTTGTAGGAGTAGTTTTTGGGTTCTTGATAGGTGCATCCTTTCCAACATTGTCACTAACAAAGGTACTCAGTTCTTTTGGGTATCTGTTATACTCCTCTCTGTTGCTTACAAAATGTATTTAATACGTGTACACTTTGACAGCTGAATCTCTCATCCAGCCTTCGTCCAACTATTGATCTGTCATACAACGAGGATCTGAAATCAGACATCTCCAGCCAAGCACTTCTAAGTTCTTGGTCTTCTGCAAGGAGTAAAAATAGCACAAGTCAAGATCAGAGTTCAAATGGCACATTGAGGGTATACCTCGTCTCCCTGACATTAACAGTAGCGTCGGAAATGACTTGCATCAGTATTAATGTTGTATGTTATTGAGGAGTGTATTGAATCTTGGCTATTTCGTAATACAAATGTTGAACCAGGTCTATAATTGCTAAAAATCTGAGTGTCATTTCCGTTATAGATTACAGCTTCCTGTTGTTCCATGCCTATTCTCCTTATATAGGCATTACTCATCTGGACTGAAGCTTACATTTCCTGCAGATTTGGGTGCCATCAAATCCCAGAGGTGCAGAAATGCTACCACCAGGAATTGTTGCAGCCGAGTCAGACTTCTACTTGCGCAGATTATGGGGCAATCCTAGTGAGGTGTGTATTCTATTTTTACTTATACAAGCAAAATAGTTACAGTTTGGACTTTACGCAATGCCAGGAATGGTCTATAATAGATACTGAAGAGAATGCAGCATAATTACAGATTCTCTGATGTCTTGAATTGAATTCTCTGTAATGTATATGGGATAAAAAGGAAATTATTTGACATGTCCTTTCCGACGTTACTATGAAATAATGGGATGTGTTTGTTGCAAATAAAGCTGGAACTGGAATCTTCTGTGTTACACATTTGATTTGTCTAGGAATTCATATAAAAGAGAATAGTCTTTTTAGCATACGTATTCATCGTCTTATTTGAAGTCTGTCGTCTGCTAAATTTAGGTTGAAACATAAATGGGAAACAGTTGAATAACATGACAAGAATTCTATTTTCTATTTTATTGAATCCTCTCTAGTCCCAATGACACTGCCAAGTTAAATCCTTTATTTTTGGCAGCACACGATACTTCTCATTTCAATGTGTCGTTATTCAAAGTGCAAGTCTTTTGATTAAGATGACAATTGCAGGACGTGACCATCAAACCAAGGTACCTTGTGACATTCACTGTGGGTTTGAATCAGAAAAGGAATATCGATGCAGCAGTGAAAAAGGTTTCTCTCTCTCTCTCTCTCTCTCTCTCTCTCTCTCTCTCTGGTGGATGTGTGTGAATAAATATCATTCTCTCACAGTTTTCAGAGAACTTTACGATTCTCCTTTTTCATTATGATGGCCAAACAACTGAGTGGGATGACCTGGAGTGGTCTAAGCGTGCTATACATGTTAGTGTTCGTAAGCAGACTAAATGGTATGAAAAATTGCTAACTCCTATTTGTACTTCAATAATGAATAGTTTCACTGGTTTTTTAATTTAAACTTTTTGTCAAAGGTGGTATGCCAAGCGGTTTTTGCATCCTGACATTGTGGCCCCATACGACTACATATTTATCTGGGATGAAGACCTGGGAGTAGAGCATTTTAATTCAGAAGAGTGAGTTTTCATTACAAAGTAATTCTTTTGCGTTGAGCTAGTTAGTCTACTAAATTAATCTCTTATGCCTCCCTTTTCAATCCAATTTCAGATACATTAGACTAGTGAGGAAGCATGGTTTGGAGATTTCACAGCCTGGTTTGGAACCCAACAAAGGTTTAACATGGCAGATGACAAAGAGGAGAGGCGATCGTGAAGTTCACAAGTAAAATCATGGAACCTAAACTGAAACTTATTTATTTGTTTCGGGTTTAGTTTATGAAGTATGAAGTAATCCTGTAACCCTTGTCTCGAATTAATCCAGACAAACAGAGGAGAAACCGGGCTGGTGCACTGACCCACTTCTGCCTCCATGTGCAGCGTAAGACTTTAAGAAATTATAGAGGACATTTTAGTGCTGTTGTTTGTCTTCCCCTTTATCTGACATTTGTGTTTAATAAATGTTTCTTGTTTCTGTCTTATTGGTTCAGCTTTATTGAAATCATGGCTCCAGTATTTTCTCGTAGTGCCTGGCGCTGTGTGTGGCATATGATTCAGGTGTTAAAGATCACCGATATCTTTTTCCATTATCACCACTTGTTAGCCCTTGATTAAATTAGCTGTCTTGTTACTTAATTCTGTGATTGCTATGCTTGGTGTTTGCAGAATGACTTGGTCCACGGCTGGGGTCTTGACTTTGCCCTGAGAAAATGTGTAGAGGTTGGTGACCCACTTCCTAACCTCCTTGATGCTTCTGTTTTGTTCTTTATTTCGTAATCTGCACATGGCCGGATTTGAATGGAACTCCTAATTAAATGCATTTTTTCATTGCAAACAGCCTGCGCATGATAAGATCGGCGTTGTAGATTCTCAGTGGATCGTTCATCAAACTGTTCCTTCATTGGGGAGCCAGGTAAATATCACTTTTTAGCCGCTGTCATCATCTCGTTTCCTTAATAAACATATTTTAGATATTGGTACGAAAAAGCTTAATTTATTTCGGCTTTCTGTAGGGTGAATCAGAAAATGGAAAGGCGCCATGGCAAGGGGTATGCAAGAACTCTTATTCTAACGCCATTGTTTTGCATTTATATCTTAAAAACGTCAATTACTCACACAAAAGTTATCTTATAAACAACAAAAACGCGCAATTTTTTTACTCAAAGTTTGCTGATATCGCTGTTGTCTTTACTGCTGATTCCAGGTAAGGGAAAGGTGCAGAAAGGAATGGACGATGTTTCAGAAGCGAGTATCAAATGCAGAAAATGCCTACTTCAAGGCTATCGGGGTAGATCCCTCAACTTCAAAGGCCCATTAGGGGAAACAGCAGCGATGACAGCGGTACTCTACACAATCGATGAGTCCGGACCACCATGTCGATTAGTGTTTTACATAAATTTGTAAAATCCGTTCCGATTTGTGAAATTCATTAATTGACCAAATCACAGAATTAGGTCCTTGAGTAAAAACACAGCGTTGATTAAATCGTCCTTCAGAATTTCAGTGCTTTGGTGACAACTCCTCTGACTCGGTGTAACATATTCTTATTAGGATTCATATCATTACTACTGTATGAGATATTGTGCTTGTTAAACGTATACTAGATACCAATAAATCGGAACTCGGAAGAGGTGATCGATTTTGCCATTGCCGGAAAAACACGAATCTTGTTTCCCCTGGGTTTCGTGTTTCGTAAACATGTCAAAAACTTTGTTGGTATCATCAAGCTTTGCACTTATTTGGGGTTCAAATTCTGATTATTTGAACATTGCATACCTCATCGACGGAGAAGAGATTTTTTTTTTTTTTCTTTTTCTATTAGATATTCGTGTTTCATTTAGATTAGTATTTTCCTTATTAATTATAACCCACATCATCATCCAAGTCATTTAATGTTTAAAACTCTTCATATCACTCTTAATATAGACCGTTGAATGTTATAAAATCTAAATGCTACAAAGCAGTGTAAAAATATTTATCCCTTTATCCTATCTAGACCTGGTATTTTGGACTCGACCCGTTCACCCGACCCATTAATATTAGTATTTGGGTGGATGTTTAACCGGTTGGGTCGCCAATTGGTGAACCCGTTAACAACCCTTTAAATAACGGGTCACTTTGGGTCAACCCGTTAGCACCCGTTAGTTGAGGATGTTTTAGTAATTTCAATAAAATCTTAACAACAAAATATAAACTCTACGCAAAAAAAAAATAAAAAATTGTTAACGGGTGAAACGGGTGGCCCGTTAGCTTAACGGGTTGGGTTCAGATGACCCGTTAACTTAACGGATCGGGTTGAACCCAACCCAAATCCAATAAACCCGACCTGTTTACAGGTCTAATCCTATCCCATTTAAAAATACTGACATTTTTTCTTTCAGTATGATTGTTAAATCACCGTGTCTTGTTACACTTATAAGAGCCGTTTCTCTCGATGTAAACTAAGAATGAAAGCCATAAGTGACGAGATCTTTTTAATTTTGTATCTTTACATAATAGGTTTTTTCAATAAACTAATGAATTAGAAAACTTTTCGATCAAATCTACCAATTCTCTCTACGACACAGAAAACTAGAGGAACATCATATTAGATTTAAGAGATTTTTTTTTCGTTCATTGAGAATACTATGATCAATAAAAATTTACTAGTAAAATAAAGGTATGAAAAAACATGAAACTTGATTTAAGGTGAGACTCAATGCACATGTTTAGTTCGTATTGCTTTTGGGCCGTGGCTACGTCAAATTTAGCCTTTTTGGGCCGGTGAAAATGTCAGTTCTTTCACTATGGGACCCTCTTCGAATTCATTCCTCATAATCTATTATGTTTGGGGATTTAAGGTATTAAAATTTGATCAAATAGTTAAAGTTATTATAACTTTTAAAATGAAATTCTATTTATAATCGTTATATCAAATTTCAATAATTTAGATCGCCGAAATTGTTTGATTAGGAGGAATGGATCCGAGAAAATCCCTTTCCCTCACTCTATTATATCAATCAATCACGTCTCACACAAACCCCATGTGTTGCATCCGGGCCCATCCAACCGTGGGTAAAACTTAACCCACCCCCATCTAACCACGGTTAACAGTGTTGAGTGGCCGTGTATATTTATAAGCAACAAGCCCAACTAAAAATTTAAGCCCATGGTTAAAACTCTTCTCTGCTTTTAGCTTTTGGCTTCTGTGTTCTCTCTCTTCCGCTCTCTAACAAAAAAGCAGAAGCACTTTCTCAAATGGGGATTTCGAACTTCCCGCCTGCAGTAGGGGGCGTGCTGCCATTGCTAGTAATGAACACAGTTTTTTCGGTGGCTCTGCTAAAGAACATGGCGAGATCTGTGCTCCAAGTGATGGGTGCCAATATCAATTCCCACACTTTCGACGAGAACCCTGATGGGTGTCCTGAGGAAATGTCTAGAGGGAGAAGAATCTCAATGACCCAGTTCAAATCGTTCTGCAGAAACAGGGGACAAACAGAGTGCTGCGTCTGTCTCTGCGGGTTCGAAGCAGAGGAAGAAGTGAGCGAGTTGTCCTGCAAGCACTTCTTCCACAAAAGTTGTCTGGAAAAGTGGTTCGAGCACAACAACAGTACGACTTGCCCTCTCTGCCGCTCTGTTGACTAAAAAGATAAGTTCTTTGTGCTATGGAGTTTTGGGTTCATCAGCTCTACTTTTTCTTGTTCTTGCGTATAGTATCCTGTTATTTTTTCGCACAAATTAGAGAAAGTTAATTAAAAATGTTTGCTTTCTGGTTTAATTTATGTTTGTACTTGTACCAAGAGGATTAAAAATAAAAAATAAGGGAAGGGAGGCATTGGAGCATTGGAGAATTGAAAATTTTGAAGGTTTGGTAATTTCTATTGGCTCGTGTTTTCTGCCACCAAATCTTCAATCTGGAGCAGAAGAAAGTATGGGACTCGGGATTGGGAATTGGACACGGATAAAATCAGTGTCAGATAATTTATTAAAAAAAAATAAGTGGGTGGAACACACGTCTTCAAAAATTTCAGCATGTTTAATTTATGCCATTTGAGAAAGAGACACCATTTATTGGTTAGTGAATATTTTTATAAAAAAAAGTAAAATTTGATGCCTTTCCTCTTTTGCTTTTTTTGGTTCGCAATAGCTCTTTTTGGTTCAAACTAATTATCTTCAAAACTTCATTTGGATTTCTTCTACTATAAAATCCCAAAAGTGCTATATATAAAGACATGCTTACTTACCGAGAATAGAAATCGAAACTATATTGAATTTAAAGCGTCCGTTTGATATCTTATTTGAAATTAAATTCAAAAATTAGATTTTTCTCAAAACCTCAATTTTTTTTTAAATTAAAAAACTTATTTAGTATGCAATTTAAAAAAAATTTGATTTCCTTTCCTTTTAGCTTTTTGGGGTTTGCAAATGGCTATTTTTAGTCCAAACTAATTATCTTCAAAACTTCATTTGGATTTCTTCTATTATAAAATCCCATAAGTGCCATCATGGAGACATGTTTGCTTACCGAGAACAGAAATCGAAACTTTAATGAATTTTGAAAAAAATTGTATCCAACAAGAAATAAAATATAAAATTCCCAAAAAAAAAAAAAAAAAAAAAATCAAACTCCAAAATCATCCTTGAATCCCCGATAACCCCAACTTCCCCTCCCTCGCCGCCCACTTCGCTGGCCTATCCCGACCCCGTAAACCCCCGGCCAGTCATCTCTCGTTTTCTCTCTGTCTCTCGCCTTACTCCCTCTTTATTTCTCTTACTCCAAACTCGCGTCGACAGGAAGAGATGCCCGTCGGGTCGCCGGTTTCGGATTCAAAGTCCAGCGATCTATAGTACCAAGGAGACGATAAACTAAATCGCACCTTCGATTCTAATCCGGTGCGGAACCATCGACAGTGGCCGTTCGCCGTCGATTTATCTCAGCCCACAGGGAGAAGGGTGGAGTTGGTGGTGGCTCTGAAAAGACAAGCGGATGGATCTAAAAAATTCAAATACTTTAAAAACAAAATTTGTGTGTTTTCAACAGCAAGGCTTTGTGTATGAGTTGTTTGTGTTTTCAAATACATATGTAACCCAAAAAATGTGAATTTCTCGCATAAACTTGAAACTTGCACCAGAAAAAAAAAAAAAAAACTTTCACGAATCTAAAAACCTCACAAAAAGGCCAGGGTTCGAACTTGCAATGGATCGGAAAGTTAGTTCTACGCTATGATAATTCGCTACAAATTATTTTTTAGATTCGCAACCTGACAACATAAAATAAATTTAATTCCATTTAATTTATTCTCGGAGTTTGATTTAATATAACCATTACACAAAGTTTAAAAGCGGCAAACATCCACTCAAAGGGATGGAAAGAGAGAGGAAGAAGATTATAACACAGATCAGTACAAACATAAACTGTGGTTTCATCTATAAGAAATCATCAGCAGTACAAACCAAATATGAGGTACAAATTTCAAAGCAATTTGTTAGCTTCTTCATTATTTAGTTGGTAACTTATGCTATTAAGGATTATATATAATAATTAACCTTGGGTATAAATAGGGGGGGTTTTGTGCTTAATCATTTCGCATGCTTTGCTGGTTCATGAGGAATTTATTGTGCTCAAACTTAATGAACTCCGCAGCTTCTTCATCGACATCCTCCGCCTGATCACGAGCCACATAATGCGTCACGTGCGTCTTCCTCGTTGTCCTCGGGGGTTCTATCACTGGTGCCCTCCTTGTTGGGGGTTCTATCACTGGTGCCCTCCTTGTTGGGGGTTCTATCACTGGTGCCCTCCTTGTTGGGGGTTCTATCACTGGTGCCCTCCTTGTTGGGGGGTCTATCACTGGTGCCCTCCTTGTTGTCCTCGGGGATTCTACAACACGTTCCTCGTACTCATCGCTGAACGTCACATGGTGTTTTGGTCGATGTTGGGCATGAGAATTGAACCTATCAGGCATAGGATCCACGGTGGATGCGAAGAACTGGAAGTCGTTTGAGTTACTGCTCCAATACGACATTTTCTTGTATGTTAGTTTTGGGTTGCTTTGTTTACGTTGTAGGATGGGGAAGGAGCTGTATTTATATATGGTAATGGCAGAGGAACGCGTAGGGTTTGAATTTTTGAGCTGCATTGCGGCTGGATAAGAAAGGTAGGGTTTCCATTATTCTTGAAGGATAAGTTTGAATCGAATGCCCTTCTTTCTGGCCAAACTTGGTGGTATATAGAATCCCACAAAGCAACAGCACCGAAGGGTTCTCTTTGGATAAAAAAGTTGGGCAGGCAGGAATTTGAGCGTTCAAAATTCATTAGGTCTCGTGCATCTACTTTGTTAATAGAATATTAATACTGTTTGAAGCCGTCGTCCATTCAAACTAAAGACGTATGTTGATTATAGTACGTAGCGTGTTCCAGATATCGTCCACAAGTTTTTCCGGGTAGTGATATATATGCTTCTCTGAAAGCTAAGCCCCTGATTGGTTCTGGAGTTTAGAATCTCTGGACACAGTAACTGGCATAACATAAAAGGAAGGGCGATCATATTATCACACGTTTTAGCAAAAGAGCTGTTCGGAAAGTATTTGGAATATTGTAGATATTTTAAGAGATATTTTTCAAGCGTGCCAGAATATGGAGAGGAACAACACATGTTATTATACAATTGAAGGAATTTTTTTTAAGTCTCTCTAATTGTACAATGACATGTGGTATTCCTTTTTGTATTCCAAACACACTAAAAAACTTGATAATTACCTTTTTTTTACAAAAACTGTTATTCATGATATCTTATCGTTTTTGCGATGTTCGCCAAAATCATGATAAAACTTACTTTGTGAAATTTTAACCGTACTATAAGCTTCTTAAATATCATGGAGGATATTTCGGATATGTTGGGACTCAAAAGGAAGATCGTTTGGATTTTGTTGCTTTTGTGATGTTCTACAAAAACCATCATAAATCTTTTTTCATATAATTTTCGTCAAACCGTAAGCTTCTTAAAGTTCACGAAACACATGTCGGAGATGTCTTTTATCTCAAGTTTAGCTTGTTCTCCCATTTTTCTAGTTTTGGACCTTTCGATTGAGTAACTGAGTACATAATTAGCATCACATTGTCATAAAATTATGGCAGTACTGAAGGCCATGATACTCATCACAATAACCCCAAATCCTGCGCTCGTATCTGGTTTCCTGCACTCTCATCGTTGCCGGAAGACGATGCACCTCCTGGAAACTAGCTTCATATTCAGCATTCTCCAATTTCATCAATGCATTGTTCAAGTTCATAGGGCCACCAAATGAAAACTGCGAGGCATTGTTGGCACCGAAGCCATACCATCCGTTTTGGTTCGTGCTTTCGGCATACCAGCTGCCGCCATGCAACGGCAGAGCCTGCTTCCCGTCAAACATGGAGTTTCGCTTCATGAACCAGTCGAGGCGTAAGGTAGGCATAATTGGCACACCTGAAACATGGTTGTTGTGATAGAGATAATCATACTATGAGTTCCAAGCTGCCTCCTTAAGGCATGGAGTAGCTCTGCTGCTGCTGCCACCCGAAAAAGCACGGCGCATTTTTTCTTCTTTTCCGGTTGCTGCTTGTATCTGTACGATTTCGATCTGTTTCTCACACCTCTTGTTTGTTTGGGGATATTTATAGGCTTGGTTTGGAAGTATATGTAAGTTGTCACTTGATAAGAAGAAAATTACACCAGAAAAGGGATATGATTCCCATTGTGGCTAAGGATCTTATTATTCTTCCATTTCAAGCAAAGAACGGAACAGGGTAAATATATCGATGATGTTTCCAACATTTGATTAACTACATATCCACCTGACTCAAGCGAGACTTGCGTACGGTGGCGCCCAGGTAAGCCGTTCCCGACTAGAGCACAACCCATAAAAAGCGAAACTTGACAAAGAAAACGAAAAACTTGCAGGGGCAGTGCAGATCATTGACATAATTGACAGACTAATGGAGAAACAAAAATATTTCCCAATGAATATCTTGAACCAAAAGGAACACGACAGGAAAACAGAACATCCTAAATTGCACATAGTCACTATCTAGTGATGCATTTTGATCAATAAAACGATCTAAAAGCAATTCAGATGTCACATACAAAGTCAGTTCATCGCATAAACGAATAATTTGTCTCATAAACAAAACTTCCCGGCAAGGGGAATGCAGGACTGTTGTACTATCTTTTCAGGGTATCCCGGGAATCACGCGATACGCCAGTACGTTGTGACACTGTTCCCAGCACAGGTAGGCCCCCTCTAAGTAGATACTAGATAGACATGCTCCGCTTATACTAAACCCCACTCCAGTAAAAGTTATGTACAAAAACATTACCCTAAGAACTCATAAGTCTGTCCAGCCCCCAAACATTTCCAAAGAATAATGTAAATTTAACCGAGCATGAGGCACAGCTATGTCAGCGACACACCAGTCATCGTTGTTCAGTCGAACCCTTCTTGAGTAGTCACAGAAGCTGCATGGTCAACTATCTTTACAGAAACAGACATCAAACCTTGCTGAAATAAAGGTCAGCCACTCTCTCTTCTGCAATTCCCAGGCAAAAGAAATTTGTACTTCTCTGCATTCTCCAACAGAAAGGATGGAAGATGGACACCAGAGAAGGAATGAGGAATAGGTCCCATTTTCCCAATGATTTCCTTGAAGGTGTACTCTTCGGGAAGCATATCAAATAAATCAGACCCCTTGCAGATCACTTTCTGAACTCTTTCTGGGTTTAGATACTTTGAAAACCTGACTCTATCGTAATGGCTGTATGCTTTCATCTTAAAGATGAACTCACTGATATAGCGGAAACAAAAGCTACAATGCCACCCTGCATCTGCTAAGATGTCATCTGTCTGGCGATAGTGTGCATATCTCGTCTCCCCTTCCCGGTACCTGTGTACTGAAGCTCTCCAACTGTTATTGTCCACCAGAAACTCAAAGGAATAGAGATAGTTCTTCAACTGAAGATGCAAGATCTGAGGAACTTCGTCACACCACCTCAGAAGATTGATGGTGTGTCTGCTTGGGATCTCATCAACGTCAGACATTATCAACAAGTCGTCCTCAGTAATACCAGCTATTTTGAGAAGCTGGTCCAGTGCTACTCGTTGATATGCCTCCTCAACAAATGGATTTTCCCCTCTCTTGAATCTTCCTCCAACAGTCCCATAAGTTAATCGGGGCTCCACAAACTTGAACTGCTCGCGATAACGGGAGAAGAACAGAGGCTTTGGAAATCCAGTAAATGTTGAATTTGATTCAAGGAGAACAAACTGCGTTATGTAGGGATACAACTCTTTCCATCTTATGGTAAGGATGTCCATCTCATTACTGAACAACACAGCATCAAAAACACGCCTAGGGTACTCACGGATCCCCCAACCATGAAGTTTGCAGAGGTTCTCCATGGACACATTCTCGTGATAATAGTGTGGAATATCATGGAAAGGTTTAGGTGGCGATTCCCATAGCGGCCGCAAGAAGTATGAGATCTTCTGTCCATGCACGTAAATGCCAAAGACACACATCGGAACAAGTGTAAACAGAATGAGGAGAACTTTGAAGTCAAATCCACGTAGAATGCAGCGAACTCTTGACATGCTCAACATTCTGCCTGATTCCTGCACAATCATAAAGACAATATTTGTCAGACGCAAGACAACATGAAATCCACCAGTCAAGGAATTCCAACAACTTGCAGTAATTCAGGCATAGATTCAATGCACAACACAAACACAACGGCAGATGATAATACTCCAAATAATTCATAGGCTTAGTAGTTCACAAGCCACTTTCTTTTCGATACCAACATGAACGCTATAATATCCGTTTAATTAGCAAAAACAATTGTCAATTCCAAACCAGAGGCTGAAAGTAATCCGATTCAAGAAAATTCCAGTACAAACGTGTTACGGATCGAAAAACCAAGACTCTTGTTACGCAAAATTTCATATCAACAAGACATGGATTAGGAAAATCCATCTGATCTGACTGGCCACACTTGATGAAAAAATACACAGATTACCTTTGGTTGCTAAGAAAACTCAGGTCAATAAATCGAAAACTTTATTCATAAAAAAGGGTTGAACTCTAAAATTCCCCTAAAAACAAAAAATTGCATAGGAAATATCGTACAAAAAGTTCATAGCTTTTAACTCAAATTTCCGGTAAACCATATTTTCACAATTTCCCAATAATCCCATTGCTGCTACATTACCAGAGCAACCAAATATGCAAACCCAGAAAACAAAAACCATCAAACCACCAAACCATACACAAAGAATAACAAAAATCACCAAACTTTAATTCGAAAAAATAAAAACAATGAAAAGAAAATTCAACTACCTGGCCGCAAACATTGCCGCAGATATCATCAGTCTTCTTAGAGCAGTAATGGCCCCCTCCCTCAGCCATCATCCACCACATTCTGTATCCTCTCCCTTTCAATGCCTCCACGACCCACGGGAGTTCCGAACGCGGCAGATCGATCGGGCTTCCAGAAACCCGATGTCAAAATCGAAACTTTACCCAGATTTGTTTGCTTCCCCCGATCCCCTTCTGGTTAATCACTAATCAGGCAACCTGAAGCTTCCGTGTCACTCGGGGAGAAGTGAATCAACAGATCAAAGACGCCTAAGAATTTCCAAAAATATGAGCTTTTTGTTGGGTATTGGAGGAAAAAATAAATAAATAGAGAGAAAAAAGAAAGAAGGAAAGAGACGGTTGGGAAAGGAAGGCCAAAAGAATAAGAAGAAGGAAAAGGGGGTGCTGCCTCTCTGGTATTGGGTGGCAGTTGTCCTCACAAAGCAACTCTCTCCACCTGCACAAATCGAGCCGTTTCACTTGTCGTCTACCCCACGCCCCCTCCTCCCCCCCCCTCTTTATATTTTCTTTCAAATTCCCATTTAAATTTATTTCCTAATTACCTTTAATTTTACGCGCATGCCCATGTGCTCGCTTCCTTAACGAGGGAGGGGAGGGGTGTTTATGTCATTGTGTGGAGGAGGCGTGGGAGAACACGGGGAAGGATACGGCATTGGCCGGGTCTGGGTGGGGAAGGTCGGTAAATGGGGGGGGGGCCCACGCGGTGCTGTGACAGCCTCTCCTCTAAGACAATTACACCATGACGATGTGTCGTCTCCTGCTTTATTTTGCTGACAGTTGGCGCGTTGCTACTTCCACCCGGCTCTCTCTTCCGACACGTGGCCTTCTGTCCCTGAGGTTGACATATGTTGTTTGCTGCAGTATATTTCTAGGTCCTGAACGTTTTTGGGCCCTTTTGGGCTTTGGATCTCCTCCTTTATCTATTTTTCTTCGAAACCAGATCTCATCTAGACTATTAATATTTGATCCAACAGCTACAATTATTATAACTTTAAAGGATCTTCTATTTATAGATGTTTGATCAAATTTCAATGGTCCGGATCATTTGATGAGTGGGCTCAGTTCCTTTGGATCCAGAGAGAATCCAGTTCCTCTTTCTTGTTCGCTCAAGTGATTATTTATTTTTTCTAAATTTTTGTTTCTCTTTACGAAACAAAATTTGAGTTAGGTCACATAATAAGTCAATTGCTAATCAGAATTAAACTATACATAAATTTAATACATCATTTTTATTTATGTGAGTCGAACTTGAAACTTATAATTTACAAGTGAAGAGAAAATTATTAAACAGTAATACTTGTGGGTCAAGGGTGAGCCTTGGTGCAGCAGAAAAGTTTACTCTTTGTGATTGAAATGTCGTGGATTCGAGTCATGGAAACAGTCTCTTTGCAAAGTAAAAATAAGATTGCATACAATATACGTTCCCTTCTCGACCCTCGCGTAACAGAGACAAGGGCGGAGCTACCATGGGCCTAGGGGCAGATGCCCCCACTAAGATTTTTCTGATGTTGGTATGCTGCTCAAATTGACCTAGTTCTGCAGCAGCAAAGCCCCCATTGAGATTTTTCAGGTTCCTCCAACTTGGTTTTGCATAAGCAGAGCTGGGTCTTTGTTTTGTTTTTTTTTCAAAACCAGGCCAAAACGACGTCGTTTTGGTCCTGGTAACAAAAAATTAAAAAAATGTAAACAAAACGGTATTGTTTCGTATATGTTTGAAAGAAAAAAGTATGTTATAGTGGGGGACCGCTTGTCCCCACGGTCCTAGACTCCCATTCCATCTCTCTATTTTGTTTTCATTATTGCAGCTTGCCAATCAGAGAGCAGCGTGGAGCTGCTCTTCCCCCAACGGCTTGAAACGGAACGGAACATGAGCAAAGTTGCTCTTCCCGTAGCCACGCCAGTATGCAGCAGCCAGCCACTCCACTTCAGCCAGCCACTCTCTAGCCGACATATATATATTTAGGTAAATTTTTTAATTCCTAAATCTATAATCCCTAACCCTAATTAATTATTTACGACGAATTTTTGTTTAATTGGTATAGAAATATAGAATCATATGGATATGGTCATGCACTAATATGGTTATTGACTTATTGATTATTGATATGAATTCTATGATTATTGATGAATGAAATTACGAATTCTATGAATATGGGTATACATTTATTCATATGATTAGTTGAATTAAATGTTTATTTGTTGAATAATTTGTATACTTATTGGTATTGGTTAATTGAATTGTTGCCTTGGTTGGATCTTGGTTTGATTAGATTGCTATGTTAATCAAAATGTCCCATGTAGTATGTTATAGGGTTAAAGTTTTACATAAGTGTTCTTTAGCGACTTGGTTTCAAAAGGTCTCAATTGCATATCTAACTTGTTTCTCATGTGTTTTCATCCTGAATGTTAGAAAAGATGGGATTTTTATTGAGAATTTTATTCTAAGAATTTTATTGAGATTTTTATTCTATAAATTCTACAAATTACGTATGAACCTTATATGTTATTGGTATCAATGTGAATGATTTTGCAGACTAAAACATCATGGAGAGGTTTTTCAAAAAAACATATCAGTGCCGCCATCCCCAGTTATTGAGAAAAATAATGATACTCGTGGACAAGATAGTACATAATTTATTTTATCAAATCTTCCATCAGATCCTGGTAAGCGAATTTGAATTTTGGATTACAATCCTAATATTCGAGATCAAGTACGAAGAACGTATGTGCTAGTTGGTCCTCAACAACCTAAAACCCATAATTTTCCTTACAAGAAATATGGAGACACGCAAAGACAATTCAACCCTACTTGGTTTGATGATTTTCCTACTTGGTTGGAATATATTGTAGAAAAAGATGCTGCCTTTTGTTTGTGTTGTTGCCTTTTAAACCAAACATTAGAGAACAAGTAGGTGGTGATTTCTTTGTTGGCGAAGGATTTTCTAACTGGAAGAAGAAAGAAAGACTTCTAACTCATATTGGAGGCGTCAATAGTGCACACAATCAAGCATGGAGTAATTTTGAAGCTTTAAGGAGTCAAAAGCAACATATCCAGTCTTTTTTCTCTAAAACTCATGATGAAGCTCGAATTCAATATAGAGCTCGGTTGAATGTATCAATCGATTGTTGTCGATTTCTTTTGAGACAAAGGCTTGCATTTCGTGGTAATGATGAATATGAACATTCAAGCAACCATGGAAACTTTCTTGAGCTTCTACAGTTTCTTGCCGACCATAATGAGGATGTGAAAGCCGTTACTTTGAAAAATGCTCCGGAGAATCACAAATTGACATCACCAGATATTCAAAAAGACATTGTAAGTGCTTGTGCAACTGAGAGGATCAAGGCTATTATTGAAGACGTTGGCACTTCGTTGTTCTCTATTTTGATTGTAGAATCTCGCGACGTATCAACGAAGGAACAAATGGCTATTGTATTGCATTATGTGGACAAGAATGGGCATGTCGTTGAGCGTTTTATTGGCATTGAAAATGTTACTAGTACTGTTGCTCTCTCACTCAAGGAAACCATTGATGAGGTATTTTCTAGGCATAAATTGAGCATGTCTAGGTTGAGAGGGCAAGTTTACGATGGGGCCAACAATATGCAAAGTGAGTTCAATGGTCTTAAAGCTCTTATTATGAAAGAAAGTGGTTGTGCCTATTATATTTATTGATTTGCACATCAACTTCAATTAGCTCTTGTAGCTGTGGCAAAGAAAAACATCCAAATTTAGTCTCTTTTTAGTATAGTTACTATTTTGGTAAATGTTGTTGGAGCTTCATCGAAGTGTTATGATCTTTTTCGAGAAAAGCAATCTATTGCAGTTATTGAAGCACTAAACAGTGGTGAGTTTACAAGTGGGAAAGACAAAAATCAAGAAACTACTTTGAAACATGCTGGAGAAACACGTTGGGGTTCACACTTTGGTACTTTAGTAAGTATAACGACTATGTTTTCATCCATACTTGATGTACTTGAAGTAATAGCAGATGATGGAGTAAGCTTTCAACAAAGATGTGAAGCGAATAATTTATTGGATTCCATGCAATCATTTGATTTTGTGTTTAATCTACACTTGATGAAAGATATACTAGGAATAACTAATGAATTGTCATAAGCATTGCAAATGAAGGATCATGATATTGTAAATGCCATGAAGTTGGTTGGAGTTTGTAAGCAAAGGTTGGAGACAATGAGGAAAAGTGGTTGGGATTCTTTACTTAGTGAAATCTCAGAATTTTGTCTTAAACATGATATTGATGTGCCCAATATGGATGATATGTTTCTTTCTTGAAGGCGAGGGCAACGAAAAGAACAAGCAGTCACAAATATGCATCATTATTGTGTTGGGATATTTTATGTGGTTTTGGATTGGCAGCTTCAAGAACGAAATAATCGTTTCAATGAGACCAATACTGAGTTACTCCAACCGACTCCTTCTCTGCTTTTGATAGCCAAAAGCTATTGCGTCTTGCCCAGTTTTATCCTAAAGACTTCTCTATGAATGAGCTGGTGATACTTAAGATTCAACTTGAGACTTACATTTTGGATATGCGGTCTAGCATTGAGTTTTCAGGTTTAAAAGAGATTGGAGATCTTGCAAAAAAAAAAAAAATGGTTCAATGCAAGAAACACAAGGTGTATTCGCTGGTTTACTTGCTTGTGACATTAGCACTAACTTTTCCAGTTGATACTGCAACCATTGAAAGACCATTTTCGGCCATGAAAATTCTGAAGAATCGATTGAGAAATCGGATGGGAGATCAATGGATGAATGATAACATGATTATTTTTATAGAGAGAGACATATTTGATGGTATTGGTAATGATGTTGTCATGCAATGCTTTCAGAACATGAAAACGTGTCGATGGATATTGTAAGGGACAATTGTATGAAAAACTTTATGGATTAATATATAAGTATTGTGTTTAGTAAATTCTTGAGCTTTTTAATTATGACTTTGTTGTTTGAGGATGCTCTCATTCACACAAATCTCTGGCTTCGTCCCTGTACAGAGAGCCTTGTTGTCTGGGGATTGTCATTTTTTTTGCAATACTGGTGGGTCCTACCATGAGGGTTTGGTTTCATTTGATTGATTAGGTCTCAAAATTCCAATGGAAGGAGGGGCTGCGAGGGTGGGTGGTGCAAATGTTGTTGATATTATTGAGGGGCAGAGAGAGAATAACACCCCATTTGATGGCAGATAAGCACATGGGTTATAATTACAATAACATACCTTCATCAACTATGCATTATTTACCAATAATTTAATTACTCTAACTAATTAAATCATCTTCATTATATATTGCCCAATCATCCTTAACTGTTCTTTAGGGTTTATGGTTTGGAATACGCATGAAGGGTGGTGATTCTGGTGAAGTGGTTACCTAATGAATTTGGGATTTGAGTATTCCTTCCCTTTTCTGACTAATTCAATCAATGACTAGTTTACTAAATCGTAAACAGAATGAGAGAAATTGAATTTAGTTATGTCCATATATTTTACAAATTACTTTGATATTACTTTAAACTTAAGATGCGTCTCAATTCTGTATTTCTTCCTTCGTAATATTTTTCTTCTCAGAAAATATTCCAATTTTGTTAATTAAAAGTGTTAGATACACGAACGACTCATTGAATATATTCATGAAACCATTCAAGTCCTCTTCTAACTATGAACACACATTTTCCAAATCGAACATACTTTGGTAAATAACATTACTCTACATGCTGCCACTCAGTTTTATGGTCCGGTGGTAGTATTCATCTTCACTTGGAAGTGAAAAGTTTTAGGTTCGAATCTTGTAGATGGCAAATTCGATACCAAATTAAGTTGCCCATTATGTAGTTTAACCAAACTTTTCTTCTCCTCAATGTAAAAAATATCGATATACTAAAAAAGAAAAAACATTACTCTACTTGCTTTGATCTTTTCTTTCAAAATCGTTATTAAAAGTTTTCAGGCTGAGAATAATAATTAAGATAGGTGGACAATTCAACCGATCATTTTAAGGTCTAAATCCTTATAGAATCAGAGTTTGGTTGCAAGTTGGAACAATTCCAAGGCGACCGGTCAACTGTGAACTAGGATATGTTGATACAAGTTTCAAGTTTCAAATTCCAAATTCCAAATTCCAAATTCCAAATTAAAAATAAAAAATTAGCTCAACCTACAAATAAAAAACGGTCGTGTATCCAACTTTCTATTGCAATTTCCTTCCCATTTCTTCTCTCTTTCGTAAATCCAAAAATTAGTGTCTTTCCTTCCTAAAAAATGCTACTATTTTATATTCTTATATCATATTTATATAATCTTTTTAATAAAGATAAGACATGCATGTATTAGTGGACCATACTTCTATTAGATGAGAGATTTTTCGATGCATCATGAACACATCCCAATATTTAACCATTTGTATTATGACATTAGGGTACCTAAACGTGTTCTCAGCACTTTGAAAAATTTCTCTTATCAAATAAATAGTACAAATATAACTTGTAAAATGTAATAAGTGAAGCATTACTTTTCCTTTTTGGGTTTTTCAATGTGACTCAAAATCTGCCATGTGTGCAGCAACTGACACATCAACACGCTCGGTTATTACGAATGTTAATCATTGTTAATTAGTGAAAATAACGTTTAATCTTAAAAATGAACATTAATTAATTAGAAAATAGCAATGGTAATATTTGGTTTGGTGGAGTTGTGCGTCGACTTGACGTAAACGTTCAAATAGACCATTGACTACGGAATGTATAGTGTTTGGGGCAACGACTCAAGACTCACGTCAACTAGACTCAGATTATACTTATTTGACCTCAACCAAAATAAGTAAAAGAAAAACTAACGAAAAGTTCAAAAAAACTTCTTTTGTAATAAAACTATATTTTTAAAGGTATAATGAATAGTATCAGTTAAATGTAAAAATGAGATTTTTCGTTTAAAATGAATAGTACCGAGATTATTTTGTTAAAACTCCCAAAAGAAAAACCTTAAGGGTTTGGAGCCATAATGGTCCTTAAAATTTGCAAAGTCTTCACTTTGGTCTTTCACAATGAAAATTGATAGAAGTAGATTATGAGTATGTCTACCATAGATTATTTTACACTTTACGTGAAAAATATGCTAATACGCTCATTAAGTTGAGAGGTTGGTTTGACAAAAATGCCCTTAAAAATGTGGTCACGTGGTTGTTCATATGACAATTTAATGAGGATATTGACAGATTTTTCATGCAAAAAATTTAAATGATTTACAGTGACAAACTGAAAAACCACTTCTATCGATTTTCATTGTCAGTGATTAGAGTAAGGAGTTATGTCAATCTCAGATGCTACTTTGACTAAAACACCGAACCTTAATTTGCATTTCGCATAACCATGGCTGGAACCAAGACAACAAGGAGGCAAGAACTAAGGAAAAACATACACAATGCAGTGAAGAAGGGTTCAAAGGCTAAAGACACTGCACCAAGTGTAAGGGTGTCGCCCCTTTCACTACCAAAGCAATATTACAGAGGACATGAGAGCCCATCCTTGTTCAATACAAACACCAACGAAGATGGGGGATGGTTAACCCAAGTGGAACCGCACATCTCTATATTACACCTCGACATTAAACGATCCCCCATTATCTTGGTTGATCTCGGAACCCAAAACCAGCGACACGTCTGAAATGAGTCCCGAAGTTGTAATATTCTTGTCAACATAGGGAAAGCCTCCCAGTTGCTAGAGGAAATATCCTTCACCAGACATGAGATATTCTTCTTCGAGTCCAACTCAACTACAATCCTTTGTAAACCCAGTGATCTAGCAAACTCACAACCCATTAATAAAGCAATAGTCTCCGCCGCAGCGGTACTTGGAGCATGAATCTTTAGCTTCTTCGGCGCCACGAACCTTCCCTCATCAATATTAGTAACGACCTATACAATACCCTCACCATTGGTAGCAGCCCAGCTCGTATCCACATTCAGCTTAGTAAAAGGATAACTAAGGAGAGACCAACGGACCAAGCTCGAAGTGAAGGCCTGCGAAAGAGAGTTCCCCATTGGTGAATGAGAGGTCTCCAAAAAAGCTCCAACCGAGGAAGAGATAGACAAAATGACTTGCTGTGGTGTGATGGCCTTCTGGTTAAATAGGTAGTTACATCTAGCCTTCCATATGTGCTAACAAGTGAAAGCTGCATAAGACAAAAACTAATTAGCTTCTTCGACATACCCCATATTAGAACTAATGAAAGAAGATAACTAATTAGCCAAAGTTGTGATGTCATCCCTATCCACTTTATAACTTAGAGAACCCCCAAACCAGATGGTTTCAACCCACAGGCATAATAGGAGCAAATGCTCAACAAATTCCTCATAAGCATTACAGAGACGGCAAAACAGAGTAGGAGAACTTCGACGCCTATAGAGAGCTTTCATTGTAGCCAACGCCCTCCACATAAAACAATGAATTTTCCCGCCGGGGGGGGGGGGGGGTGGGGTCTTCAACTTCCAAATGACCTTCCAAACGTGGGAATGAATCGAGAAAGATGTGGAAGTCGCCCTAACTACCATTGGCATCGTACATGAATGCACCCAGTGGTAAATTGATCTCACAGTATAGACCCCATTCCTATTCACCAACATGTCCCTTCTTATATGATCACCAATGCTAATGTCAACAAT